TATTAATCTATTTTTTTTTCCAAAAAAAAATAGATCAATGGTAAGTGGTCAATCAAGAATTTCAATATACTATATACTATTAAAGGGTATGTATACAATTATTTTTTTTTTCCAAAAAAAAAAAAATTAATCAAGAAAGGATTGTCACACGACAATAAATAAAATAATTGACAATCCGTCTATATATGAATAATCGACAAAAAAAAATGGTACTACTATAAAATAATATTTTTTATTTTGCGTTATGAACAAATGTCAAAGAACACATCTATACATTTTTTAAGATTATCGAAAAAAAAAGGGTTTACTCTTAGTATTAGGGATGTTTTTACGCTCGTGTAACTTTATTATAGTACTCAATTACATCAAACGATTGAACTTTTATTCTGAAACTATTTTTAAACTTAAAACTTCGAAATTATCTCAAAACTCCGAAACTTTAAAAAAAAGCAAAATGATGTCACAAGTGTTTTTATATGAGAGAAAAAAGTATAATTAAATCTTTTTTAAAAACAAACAAAAATAATATCATAATAATATTCAAAAAAAAATTTATTCGAACTTTACCACGTGATGATGATATTTTTGCAGATCATCTATATTTCCTTCGCTTTTTTTACTTATAATAATAATAATAAAAGGTATTTCGATTCGTATTATTAATATTATTGTTATAATTAATTAACAAATAATCATATTTAAATTAATAAATTTCGATTAATAAACTATATTTCATAATTTAATAAGCTATCATTACTTAAATTCAATTCAGCAATTCCATCATTTAATATTCTACTTGTATGATATGCTAATGGATGTGATTTGTGTACTTGTTGTGAATTACTGTTATTACCATTCCTATTACTACTACTACCACCACTACTGTTATTATTACCACCACCACCAATATTACTACTACTTTCATTAGGACTCTCAGTTTTAAATTCATTATGAGAAAAATCCCAAAGCTCTTTGCTAGTTGGTCTCTTGGCTGGATCTACATCCCAACACCTTTGCATCATTTGTACATAATCACCTGGCATTCCTGGTAATATTGGTGGTCGTAAACCTTC